CAGTCCTGGCTGGGAATATAGAAAAACAATGATACCTCTTTTTCATTTATGCGCTGCTCTGAAGAACCACCTCTCACTTATGCGCGGCGCAAAAATTTTCTCACTTTGAAAAAAAGATGTCTCAAAAGTGTAGCATATTGCTTATCATAAGAATTTTCATCCTTTTGACATGTTTTTCTTGGAATGCTCTCGTTTTTCTTATCTTTGTGTGGTCACAACCCTCATTTTAAGGCCTTAAATGACCCCCCTACTGCTTTCCTCTTTTATCTCTTACCCCTATTGTTCAAATTCCAGTAACACATTTCCCTTAGAGGGGTACAAGGAGGGGTCGCTCTTGTGATCAAGCTAGGTAAAACTGACAGCCAATTAAAGATGTTAGTGCAAAAACCACGTGACATCGTCGACTAACTGAATCGTCGGTGTTTAGTTAGATGCTTACTTTTCAGCATGGCGAAGAGAACAAAATTGTCGCTTTCATTTAAAATGGATGTTATAAAAAAATTCGAAGAAAATTCTTTCACCTCGAAAAAAGCTTTGGCGGAGTCTTTTAATATCCCCGAATCAACGTTAAGAGGGATTTTAAAAAATCGAGAAGCGATTTTAATAGCTAATCGAGAATGTGGTGTGCAATCGAAGAAAAGAAGCAGGATTCAAGGTGGGAAGTACGAGGAATTTGAAAAAGTTTTATTGACCTGGTTCAAAGAAGCTCGTGCTTCAAACATTCCCGTTAATGTTGAACTCTTGAGAGAGAAAGCTGTAGAGTTGTCCAAGAGTTTTGATATGCAAAACTTTTCAGCATCTCACGGATGGACTGAAAAATTCAAAAACAGACATGGCTTAGCAACTCGTGTCCTTTCTGGAGAAAGTGGAAGTGTAAATGAAGAAACTGTTCAACAGTGGACAGAGCAATTGGCCACTTTAATAAAAGGATACGAACTAAAAAACATTTACAATTGTGACGAAACAGGACTTTTTTTTAAAATGATGCCCGACAAAACTTTATCATTTAAAGGAGAATCATGTCATGGTGGGAAGAAAAGTAAAGAAAGGTTAACTGTCTTGTTATGTTGCAACGCTGATGGCTCCGAAAAATTCACACCATTAGTCATTGGAAGATCAAGCAAACCGCGATGTTTTAAGAA